CCTGGTCTAGTGCAAGGTGTCCCTGCCCATGACAGGGGGGTTGGAACTAGATGGTCTTTAAGGTCCCAACCCAAACCATTCTGTGACTCTACGCAACACGCACAGCGGGTGGTTGTGTGAGCCTGTTCCCAACTGTTTGCTTAGTCACGGTGAGTGAGAGTAGAGACAGAGCCACAAGGCAGATGAGTGAAGCAGACACAAGTGTGCGCAGAAGCTGACTTGTCACCGGTGTGACAGCTCAGCAGAGCCAAGGAACATCACCTGTTAGCCCTGCTAGAGCTAGGGACTCGCCAGCTATGAGTAACGACACCCCAACTTCGTCAGGAAGCCCGTCCGATACACGTGGCTCGTGCTCCGCGGGCTTTCAGTCTGCACCCAGTTGGCAGGTTTAGCACCGTCGTTGCTAACTCCGACATAGGTTCGCTCAGTGCTAGGCAGAGGCGAGCAGAAGCGTGACCAAGTGGTGTCACCACGCCCTTGAGACACTCACATTTCCAGCAAACTCAGCTGCTGCTTTTCCCCTCTTGCCCATGAATCCGTGCCATAACACGCCAAGGGGTGTTGGCAAGCACAGAGCGAGGTCAGCTCACCAAAATACCTGCTTCTTGTTCCGTAGCCAAATCACAGCCAAAGGAAATCTTCCCAGAAGTCAGAGAGGAGAAAGGCTGTTTGCATGACACCTGCCCTTGCTTCTCCCGTGTCTCTCCTTTTCCCTAGGCCGTGAAGACTGCCAGACCAGTCGCGGAACCCAACGCAGGATTTTGGTCGCAGCTGCAGCGCTACGAAGAGGATTTGCAGAGGGCAAGGCAGCCGGCTCTGCGCAGCCAAGGTCCTACCAACCGCAGTGCCTGAAGCTGGCGTGAAGGGCTTAGCTGGCTTGCTGCAGGCACCTGTCGCCCCGTTCTGCCCGGCCCGGGCACATTCCTTCACGCGAAGGTGCGTGTGAAAGGGGCAGAGCTGGGGAAAGGGCAGCAGCAGAAAATGGCTGGGAGGACTGCAAACAACCAGCGAGAGGCACGATGTCCTCGGCATTTATTTTCCCTGCATGCCACTGAATACAATAACGAGGTACTGAAGGAAGGAATGAGTTACTACGTAGGGGTTTTACTCCTGGTTTTCAACTACACTTCCCAGTGACGTCCCTAGAAGACCTGATGCCAGACCAAGGAAATTCCGACTTTCTCTCCCCCACCGGATCATAATGCATGTTCATGACACAACCTCTGGTAGGAAACCAACACTGGAACTGCTCAGACACTGCCTGAGCTCCATGGTTTCCTTACGCCCAACTAGACCAAAACCCTGTCACCAAACTGCCTGAAAATCCAGAGGGCGGTTCAGCCCCCACCGTGCAAGTCAAGTGCCTCTCCGGCCTTTGAGATTATTCCCCAAGATGCCAAAGGGATGGTTCGTGAAGCTGGTAGTGGGATATCAAGGAAGCTGCAGAAAGCTTCTTAATCAGACTGGTTCTGCTTGTCATAAGACCTTAGAAGTAGAAAAAAACACCAAGTATTTTGTCAAAGTGTATTAATACGTTTGTAATTTAGAAGAGAGAAGCTGTGAAACCTGCGGTGTGAAATTCCATTCCACGTTGCTCAGAGCATCGATACGAAGCTAAATTAGCTCGTTGTCCCCTGACTAAGTGCTTACAGGAGGCAAACTCCCAGCAGTGGAGTAGTTTAAGGCAGAAATTCCAATGATGGAACGATGACGGAGAATAAAGTCACTGGAGAATTAGATGAATGAGACAATTCACTTGCAGTAGAAGTTCCCTCAAAGTTACAATAGGATTATTGCAAAAGCTGAAAACAGAGAAATAAAAAACCGGGACTCTCATCGACTTAGTTATGGCAAGGCATTTTCACACCAGATGCTTCCTGCCCCCCAGCTGTGTTTGCTTCAGCCCCTGTTGTTTATCTCTGGTATCTGCATTACAGCCAAGGAGATGTGTCGCCCATCTGCGGGTTTGGAGGTGAGTGGTCGTTAGGGAACTCTCCGTAGCTTTGATAAACCTGGACTATCATACATAGTACCAACTTCTGTATGAGATGAGACCTCAAGCCCACAGTACCGAGACTATCTCCTTCCTGATGGCCGGGATACCACTCATCACAAAACCTCTTTCGGTGTGTCTGGAATAAGGTTTATTTCCTGTCAAAACCTGAAGCTGCTGAACAAAAGTGGGAAGCTAAACATTAATGAAAACACGATACATTTCTAACTGCCAGGCATATTAACTTGCAGTCAGCTACAGCATATCAGTTCCGCATTTCTGAGTCAGCTGAAACAGAAACAGTTGCTCTTGGTTGTCAGGATACGCCGCACACCCTGGTTAAATTTTACCAGGCTTCTCAGCGTGCCGAAAACCTTCATGCGCAGGATTTTACATCACAGCGTTTTCTGTAGAAACCTATTTACATCTGGAAACCAATCCGGGCAAAGCATTCCTATTGACACTGAAAACCAGACCTCCTCCCGGTACTGCTCCAAATTAAGGTGAGAGATGGTAACGTGGAACCGGGACCCTGGAAGTAGCTCACCTCTTTATTTGAGTTCATAACCTACTGACATTACAGGCGATGTAAAAGACAGGTTTAGACGTACTCCTTGTTGCTTAGGACTGTCTCCGAGCTTTTGGTGTAAATACGCTGCTGCTGAGCCGCGTGGCCTGCCGAATACGCGTACTTGTTGCAACTGCAAAGGAAGGGGAAAGAAAAGATGCAAAGTAATAGGCGTTACACACACATCCACAGTTCCAGATCCTTAGGCAGTTACTCATTTGGGTATGTAACCAGCCCCCGCTAACACATACTTCACGCAGGTGCCGGAATTAGGGGCCCATTGTTCTCACCAGTTACAGGGAAGAAGATGGGCTCTTTGACAGGCAGCACGGCCACCTCTCCCTTAGCCAGAAACACGCTCTGGATTCCTAACTCACCTCTGCTCTCCCTCAAGGCGTTTTAGGCAAGTCCCTAAAGCAGAAGAAAGCCTAGACCTTGATGTCTTTGTGTGAGCTGCAGTTTTTAATACAGTAATCAAGATGAGCACAGGAATACAGGAATCAATCAGAAGCACCTTCAGCCAACCCCTTCAGCTGTCATTCATCATGTTGAACGTCTGTTTCATGCATCATTTTTACCTCATTTTCAAGATAATTCTGGATATTTGGGACTTCAGTGAAGCATGGTGAGCAAGATATAGTCCATGTGACTGATGAAATGCTACCATAAGACTTAAATGACTTCAGATTAGGCAACGGGGTGTCAGAGGAACGCTCTCCCTTATTAGGTGCTTTGACACAACTTTTCCATGATCAGATACAGCAGCAGTGAACATGTTTCTTCCTCCTGCGTTACATCCTCTCAAGCCTAGCCACTACCACCAAGCCATTTGGGCTCTTGCGGGCAGACACAGGCCTCTACTATTGCTGACAATGCCATCCCTCTCCCTCAGCAAGGGACATTCTGTACGCGTCGATAATTTCAGACTGAAACCCAAAGTCCGGGCAAGGTTAAGCATCGAGGCCAGAAACCTCAACTTTCCAGATTTGATGCGCAACAAGACATTTCCATAAGGAACAAGAGAAAAATCACACGTGTCGAACGAGCGATTGGCTATGCTTTCGGGAGGAAATGCCGTTAGACTTTCTGCAAAGTAAATGTCGTTTGAATAGTTTAACAGTCATGGGTATTGCAGGCAAAATCGATTATAACACACTGTATTCTCTGATATACTTTTGGCAATAGGTCGCTCCTTCACTGCATGTTTTCATCATGTAGATCTTAGAACCAGCAGCATTACCAAACACTAGTTATAGGTGACCACAGATGGCAAAGTGCCAAAAGGGACGGTGTCTGGGAGGCACAAGTATCTGGCACAGCATCCCTCGCCATCACAAGTCTGTGACATGCCATAGCTCTGAATTAATAGGAATAATTTCCTGCGTGTACTTTATACGGCTACAGATTTATACCAGTGGGTGAGGGAGAGAGAGTAGTATACAGGTAGAAAATGGTTTATAATTGACAGCTACTGTTTCAACTGACAAATCCAAGGTTACCTGTAATCCTGTTTTTTCTTCCCTTTGCATGAACAGGTCAGTAAGATCCCACCAAGCATATAAAGAACAGATCCAGCCCAGCCTAAGTACAGAGCATCCCCTAGTTCATACCTGAAATGTGAAAGAATTTAGTGAAACAGCATGTAGCAGGATCACAAAGCCATTATTTTAGACGGAGCCATAAGGTGCACAAACCACACAAACAAATCTAGTCTGCACAGAAATAAGCTAGCTGAAAGGCACTTCGACAGGTGACAGAGGAGAACAGATCTGGCTTTGTGTCTGTTCAGTACACTCTTCTATGTATATTTAAGCCCTCTGCCAAATTGGTGACAGAACAGAAAGTACTAAGCAACATAAAGATAAGTAGCAATAAATACGTGCATATATTTAATAAACTGCTGATAATAAATGATAATAATGTACCTTCTGTGCAGTCCACCACACTTACTTTGCCCTTGTATTGGCTGTGCCACTGAAGTAATTTTGTGAAACGGAATGATTCAGACTCTACTGCCTGTCTCGGGAGAAAAGGCGAACCGTGGAAGTCAGTTTTCTGTGGACACGATGCTAGATCCCTTAGGAGTAGCTATTTGTGTAGGGCTAGTTTTCAGACTTACGCATCATAAAGAGTGTTCAGCACTCTCTGTGGTTATATGGCTGAAATACATTTATGAATACTCCCAGGATGAAAAAGAATAGTTCCCCATTTTACTGTACAAAACTGCACCCTTCAGGAAACTCCCTAGTCCAGTACAAGAAATTGGCTGGCAATGATTTTGACCCAAAGAGCAGACAGAACCGAGGCTGGGATAGTCTGCCAGGAGTTTCTCAAGAAGGGGCAAACAAGATTTTATATTTGGCCAAAGACCGTGTCCACAGAAGGGCTGTACCTCTGTGGTCTGAGCACGACTAAGAGCCATGGGCTGCACCCAAGGTGTCCTGAAACCAGACGCGTGTGTTTTCTTTCCACTTGTAAACCCAGAATCATCATTTAAAAGTGCCCAAGTTTCTGACTCCAGACAGTTGCTAACAGGAAGGTTTCAGAGGTTGACACAGGGTCACTGCTCTCCGTGCTTCCATCACACATGGGAGCCACAAGGTCTCCACTGCTCTACCTGCTTTCCAGACACGGGACAAGGAGACAATCATTAGCTCAAAAACGCAGCAGGTTGCTGGAGGAACACTAAGGAGCAACCAGACAGTGCTGCCCGGTGCATGCAATCGCCTCTGCTGGCGGGTCACCTGTAAACAGGGATGCTGCAGACGTCACACCAAAGGAGGGCGTATAGGAGGGATCTGCGGGAGGACTTGGGTTGCCTTCACAGCGGTATGAGAAATTCCTCTAAGAGTTAGTAGAGGTTAACTTGACTAATGTGCTGAAGTCAGGCCAAAAACATGCAATCTGAAAAAACAGATTTGCCAGTCTCTTAAGAGTGAAGATCAATACTGGCCTGCAATTGAATATAAACCTGCCTCACAGAGTCCAAGGAGCACAAACTTCCTCAAGAGCGTGTCTGGCTCTACCAGTGACCAAAGTTAATTCACCAACAACTGCTTAGTGAATCGATAGTCTTAAACATGAAGTTTAGATATTACCAAAAAAAAGATTTCGTTAGCTACTGAATGCAAACAACCCGGTAACTTATTAACAAGCATTGATGTTGAAGGCCCAAAGCTGTACCAGATAACTATAAAACTTGCTAACTATCCCACTAACTGAAATTCCTTATCAACGGTTGTTTCGGGCCTCTAACGTATTTATTACCCTTCATATAATTCTCTCAAGGGATATAAAAGAGCAAAAAGTATTCACAGGTGCAATTTCTTCATAAGTGCTTGTTTGAAAACACAAGGAAAACTGACAAACATCCAAAGCAATTGCTTAAAGTACTTTGGTTCGTAGCAAAGCACTTCACCTCCGACTTCCCCGAACTGATTCTCAGGAAGAGACTTACAAAACACCTCATATATGATCCCAGCAACTAAAGATTTTGAGTTTCCTGATATAAAAATTATATACTTGGTAGTGGTACTGGCAAATTATAAATGTCTCCTTTTGGCCAAACCCGCTCTCTGGTGTTGCACAGACAATACATTAAGCTTCCCGCTGCTCCCTGTTTCCCCCTCTCCAAAGGAGGGGCCCGGTCACCTCCACCCTTTTTCCTCATTGCTAAATCTATTGACCAAGATAAGGTGCTATAAGCGGGCATTTGGGTTTGAAGACTGCTGCTTTTATATCAGACAAGAATAAGGGCTTTTATACCTCGAAACTTGTTTGTGCACAACCGTGTGAGCTGATAGTCCCACAGGCGTTGCCTCATTTTAATCCAGCAGGCAAACAAATGGGGAGCTGTCAATAGTGAAAACCATTTGTTTGCTTCTTTCAGACAAGCAGCACACTTCAGTGAGGTTTCTCAGCTATCTGCAGGTCCCTAGTACGCGGCTCCAGCTGGTTTCTGTGCGTTTTTTCATTTGCTTGTACACCTGAGGCATTGTATTTTAGCCATGGCTAGAATTTTGTACCTCTTTCGGTCTAAATGCTGAAGAAAACTAAGACTTTTCCCTTTTCTTCATTACGGCACCGAGATGTGCATTTAACTGAGCATCACAAGAAAATGCAAACGCAGTACAGAGAACTCTCAGATGTGGGCTTGATATTCCCCACACATTCACTAAACCTTCCTGTAGGGAACTCTCCTCCCTCCCCACCAACATCTCTGAAGTGAAAAGATTCCCTGAAGACAAATTTTTCCTCCTGTAGGCCTGGATAACAGAACTATCCAGGTTCTGAGCCTCGAGCAGCTGAGGTTAGCAGAGCTGTCTGTAACACACGATGGAGTCCCGTATGGCACATCTACTGACTTACTTGGTTCCAGCATACAGCGGGTCAAAAAACTGCGCAGTAACCATCGCAGCATACCAAGAAACAGCCACCATGGAGCAGAGACCTACCAGAAAAAGTTCAGAAAGCTTTTGAACAGGTGAATGGTTCCTTCCATGGGAGTAACAACTTTAAACCACAAGCGAGCATTCGTTTCATTTAGTCTAGCAGTGAAAGCATTGACAGCAGTCTCATTTCAGCCTCCATATTACCTCCTAAAATAAAGAGAAATCCTCCTGTGACAGCAAACTTCATCTTTTCATCTTCATCGCTCAACCCAACGTTTGTGCACTTCAAACCAAGCAGCGAGAGCACTGTAGCTATGAATCCCAAAAGGATGGACGCAATCATCAAGGCACGGCATGCCTGAACATGAGCTAAGACCGGAAAAGAGAGAACAAATCAGGATCTATACCGAAATCAAATTAATCTTGTGCTGAAAAAATAAAAGTGATTAGAGGAAGTGACAAAATTAACGGAGGCAGTAATGAGTGAATCTTGTCTAACTTTGATATTTGGTTCAGAGAAGCAGCCAAACCCTAGAGTGTTTAGACTTCAAGTCAATCAGATTTCAGAGTTGAATGACACACTTTATAAACTCAGTAACCCTCCTGGGCCTTTAGTAAACCCTGAAGTGCTGCAGCAAGCCCTTCATAGCTTACATCTTTAAGTCCGTGAAAACATATAGCAGTATATATGGTCATTTACAGTAGCAAAAATAAGCCTCCTGCTCGCAAGTCCCAGTGCCTTCTTACACCTGTACAGCTGCGCCCACAGGACCCCGCTGAACTCCTCGGGCCTCGCCAAGGTCTGCTGAGCTCTGGGACTACTGAGGAATCAGAAGAATGGCCTGGCTTTGATACTTTCAGTGAGAGATGTGAAAGAAATTGGAGTTAACTCGGAGTTGGGGTAATGAATGGTCTCTTGTGAGACCCCACCTGGAGTGCTGCATCCAGCTGTGGACCCCTCAACATCAGAAGGATATTGACCACTGGGAGCGAGTCCAGAGGAGGCCACGGAGATGCTCAGAGGGCTGGAGCCTCTCTGCTATGGGGACAGGCTGAGACAGTTGGGCTTCTTCAGCCTGGAGAAGAGAAGGCTCCGGGGCGACCTCATTGCAGCTTTCCAGTACCTGAAGGGGCTACAAGGAAGCTGGGGGCGACTTTTTACAAGAGCCTATAGTGACAGGACAAGGGGTAATGGGTTTAAATTGAAAGTGGGGAGGTTTAGATTAGATATCAGGAAGAAGTTCTTCCCGGAGAGGGTGGTGAGGCACTGGAACAGGTTGCCCAGAGAAGCTGTGGATGCCCCATCCCTGGAAGTGTTCAAGGCCAGGCTGGATGAGGCTTGGAGCAACCTGGTCTAGTGGAAGGTGTCCCCGCCCATGGCAGGGGGGTGGGAACTGGCTGATCTTTAAGGTCCCTTCCAACCCAAACCAGTCTATGACTCCATGGGAGGCGAGCCAACCCAAGAGCTGCAGCCCTCCTCTCCTCCCTAAGACAAACTCCTGTAGAGAGCTTACAGCTGGTGTGGGCACGTTAGGGAATTTGTTGCCAGTTACAGCAATACTTCCAAGGCTTTTTCTCTGGTTATACTGACATTTCTGCATTGCTTAAGCTCCTGGTCTTCACACTTCAGTATCAATCACACAAAAACTGGGAGCAGATTACTAACCAGCCTAAGAAGGACAGTTGGACAGGGACTTGGAGCTCCTGCAAATGGCAGTCTGGATTTGGCAGGTTCAAGGTCAAATGCCACTTTGTCACCTTTGCTATGAGATAAACATTCCAAGTGCCACCAATCCGGCAGGTTTGGCTGCTAACCACAGCAGTGGGCTGTGTCTGGACAGGCCCATCAGTGATGGTAGTGTTCATGCTCGCACTCCCTGATCACCTCCGTGTCCTGCACAGTCACCTGCTCCTTAGCTCTGTAGCGGAGCAGGGCCATAACACTCCAGACAACAAAAATGATGCACAGAAACAGAGTTGAAGTGACGGATTCACACTCAGACTCAGCGGGCTGCATGGCTTTATGTAGTTTAAGAGTATTGGTCCTGCACACTTGAGAGTTATCAAAGACAGTAATAAGTCATGAGTTAACTAACACAGAAGCATTAAAGGATAACATTGCTCAAGGAATTAATGTTTTGTTAAGCATCATTTCTAAAATTTTCTGGAAAAAAAAAATACAGACAGTAATAAAAGTGGAAAGGCCTCTCAAAGTACCATAAAGGTTTAAGGATTTTGCCTGCAAAAGATGGAGTTAGGACAAGCACTCAGCTCCGACGCTGCTCTCCAGTTTGGAATCTTACGCCATGGCAGGAGGAATTAAACATAGCAGGGATCCAACCTCTTACATTTGAGGTACATTAGATGCGAGTCCCCACATCTTTCCAGGACGCACAGGCATGCCCCCCGGCTAACTGCTCGCAAGCCAATGGCTGCGTTATTTTGGCAGAAGAGATTTCATACCGTATCCTTTTTGTACCACAACACAGTAACCTCCACAGCCTCAGCTGAGGAGCTGACCCCACAGGCTAGAAAGCTTGACTTTCTGTTGTCTTCATCTTCAAAAATGAGCGTATTGAACAGGACACAAAGTCAGTTAATTTTTTTGATCAATACTAATTTTAAGAAATTATCCTACAATCCTGGCATTTGAAGAATCACATACGGAACCTTAAAAAGAAGGGGGAAAAGTTTGGAAGCATTTGGCAGCCAATTAGTTGCTTTGTATCAAATGTCTGGTCTGGCTGTGACTAGATGGGTAGTGCTACCTAGACACCGTAGGCAGGCGTGGTTTCAATATTATGCAGCCTTGCTTTTAAAAAGATCCTCACTTCAAACATTTGTGAGTTGGGCTAATGGACAGCTGAAGTCAAAAGCTTTCAGTCTGCTTAGAAGCACCACGCACAAAACAAAACCCAGAGGTGTACCACATCGCTCGGCTCTCATCAAAGAAACCTCCACAGACAATCTTCCTGGTCCTTCTGATGGGAGCTGAGACACTTTGGGGTTTTTCCTGTCCCCCTCTCCCCAGCCCCTGGCATCTGCTGTTGCAGCCGTTTCCGTTACGTCTCTAAACAGCCATCTGAAACACGCTTAAACTGACCGTGACAGTTTTTAGTCTGCCTTGGGTCACACCTGCAAGTGCTACATTTTTTGGAGGTCCCACAGTTTGCTCAGCCCTTGTTGCTACCAACCCCATTTTCTTCCTCTTTCCTGGTTTGCCCAACTGTCCTCTCACCTTCTTCCACAATTCAGTGACTTCTAACTTGTTTCTTTCTTCAGTTTGCCTTTCTAAAGCCTTTTCTTCTCTACAGTTCTGCAAGCTGCTTCTCCCTTTCCCTTGCCCCTGCCCATACTCCTCAAACATACTGCCATCTTCTCAGCAGAGTCACTGCTCTCCTCTTCAATGGATCAAATTCATCTTCACAGATTCACTTGCAGCGTCTGGCCTATTCATTTACTTTCTGTCTGGACCCATTTTTCCTCCCTGCTGACTCCATGTTGTTATCTGCAGTTCTCCAGGAGCCTTGCTGTTGCTTGCCTTCCTTTCTCTTTTGCTTTTGCTCATCGTGCTCTTGTCACACCTGCTTCCCCACCCACTCCCCAATTTCTTTAAAACCCTTTTCTTCTCTCAGCAGCTGCAAGATGCTGACCTGGTGTGACCCACTGTCCCCACCTGCACACACAGGAGACCTACAATGCTCCCATGGACAACACCCCGTGTAAATGCATCAGTGACAAGGTGCTGCATAGAGTCAGTGGTGCTAAGTCATGAACCAGCCCTTAGAATCATGGAATCATACAATCA